TCTGGCTTTTTTTTTTTCTGCTTATGTGGTGCTGAGGAATCGAACCCAGGGCCTCATGCATGCAAGGCAAGCACTCTACCTCTGAGCCACCTTCCCAGCCCCTGAAGTTTGTTTTAGAAAGCAGCTGCAGATGCAGATCTGAAAGCTGTAGGAGTTCACAGAAGAGGCCTGGACCATACAAATTTGGGGCCTTCAGCTTGTAAATAATATTTAAAGACACGAGTGGAGCTCCTCAAGACAATGTGTAAATTAGAGGACAGGAAGAAAGTGCCCTAGTGTTGGGGTGGTCATCTCTTCTGTAACTTTGAAGGCCTGGAAAATTTCTAGACCGAAGGCAGTCATGGCTGGATGACCCGAACGAAGGGTGTTTCAGTGGAGTGATGGGCCGAGGGTGTGGGAGGAGTAGGAGGATGGTGGTAGGCAGCTCGAGAGAGTGGAATGTTGACACACTGATCTCACCTGTGTCTCCTGCTCTGATTTGCTTAGTATTTTCCTTGGGTTATGAGTTTTTGTTGTTTTCCTTTTGGTAACAGTCCTGGAGCTTCTTTGTTCAGCTAATGAGGATTGTACTTCAGTTTTCAAGTTCTTGGCGTTTTTCTTTTGTTGTATTGCATTGTGATTAAAGGTTGTAGTCTTGAGTGTGTCTTATTTTTCTCTTTAAATACTGATATTTAGTTTATGAGGTGTTGGATTAAGAATACCTCCCATGTAAGTTGCTAGAATTTTGGGAAGAATTAATTGTGCACATAAAGAGTATTCTGCTTATTGTTTTACAATATGTACAATAGTAACAGTGGCTTGCTGTTTCCATATGTGTTTGGACAGCAGATGGCGTTCCCAATGATAGTAGTGACAGTGAAGTGGAGGACAGAACTACTGCTAACTTGGCTGCATTGAAACTTGATGAGTGGCTCAATTTTAAACTAGAGCCAGAGGTACGTTTTTTTTTTTTTTAACCTATTGGTAACCAATTTCTTTCATTAAGTTGCAATGAATTGATACAGTCTGATAATTTTTTTCTTTAATACTAAGCCCTTAGTATTAGAGAATATAGAGCCTTTTTGTGTTGTCTTCCATATTTTTTTTTATCCCCAATAGAAGACTTGAAAAACTGAGATGTGGATCAGTATTGATGCATATCGCTCGTTTTCTTACTCCATTCATGCTGCTACAACAACTACTATAGACTGAATAATTATAGAACATATGTGCTTCTCATGGTTCTAGAGGATAAGAATTCCAAGATCAAGGATGAGGGCTATTTTTAATTTCAAGATGGCAGCCAAAGCCCTGGGTCCTCTATAGGGGAAGACTGATGTGCTCTCAGAAGTGCAGAAGGGATGAACTCCCTCCACCAGGTGTTTATTTTTTAATTTTGTTCTGCTCCTGGGGCTTGAACACAGAGCCTGAATGCTGTCCCTGAAGGTTTTTGCTCAAGGCTGGCAATTCTACCACTTGAGCCAGCTTTACTTCCAGCTTTTTAGTGATTCTATATCCTACATTAAGTTTCAACATGAATTATTTGCGGGAACAAATGCATTCAAACCATAGTAGTAATACTTGAGTATTTCTGCATATATTAAAAAATTAGTATTGGAGACATGGATACCATTATTTTGTGTAACTATTCCTGAGTGAAATACAAGTGTTCTTTTCTGGTTTTTGTTTCCATCTAGCTCTGAATTGAGAGTAAATAGTGTGTGTGTCTGTGTGTGTGTGCGCACACGTGCTAGAGTTAGGCTTTGTACTCAGGGCCTTTCCCTTTTACTTGGCTTTTTCACTCAGGTCTGGCACTCTACCACACCTGTGCTCCTGGCTTTTTGCTGTTTAGTTGGAGATAAACCTTTCGTGGACTTTTTTGGCCTGGACTATCTTTGAACCATAATCATAGCATCCTGAGTAGGTAGAGTTACAGGTGTGAGGCTCCAGTGCCTGGCTTGGAGTAAACTTTTAACAGTTTAAATTCTTTTAAGTTAAAAATTTTCATGACTGTTTTTAATGTTTATTATATCCATGTTTTATGAGGAGGGGACAACTAAGCTGCCAGTAGTTGACAATTGCTAGCTTTATGTCTCTCAAACATCCATTCATTGATCATCACAACCTGCTGCAGTCTCAGTCTCATTCTCATTCCCAGCCCTTTGCTACACCGAAACTCTCCTTGCCGAGGCCATCTGTGTTCTCTAAGACAGTTTGATCATTGGCACTGTTGCTCATCACCTCCTTTTCGTAATCCTGCTCTTCCCTCATTTCCCACCCCAGCTTCATTGTCTTTAAATTACTGGGACATTAATCCCTTTTAATTCTCCCATTGTAGTCATTCCTTCTAGGATGTTTCTCTGTTCCTGATGCTAAGTTCCCTGGTTCTCTGTGCTTGGCTGTTTTCTTCTCATTGGCTCTGCTCGTCCCAGGGAGCCATGCCTCTGCATGTAGGCTTAGTCACCATGGGTGCTCTGGGAGTGCTGTTGCCTTCTGAACAGCATCATCTGGATGTTCTGCAGACACAGCAGTAATGTCTCAGTAGCACCAATGTCTTTTTCTCCATCTACTGTGTTACTGTGTTTCATTATTAGTCTTTACGTACCCAGTGTTTGCTCTCCTCCCCCCCTCCCCCACTGAACACTCTCTAGTCCTAGGAAATTTCATTTCACTCATGACATAAATGAATGGAAGTAGTAACAGCTGCAGACCTTAAGTAATGAAAGAGTGTCTTACATACATTTGCTTGCACCTGTTTGAACTGTATTATAGGCCGCCAGTTTATTGCTGCAGCTCAGACAGAAGTGGCACAGTCTGTTTTTACGCCGAATGAGAGCTCCATCTAAACCCTGGTCTCAAGTGGATGAAGCCACCATACGAGCAATTATAGCTGTGTTAAGTACGGAGGAACAATCTGCAGGTTTACAGCAACCATCTGGGATTGGCCAGAGGCCAAGACCTATGTCTTCAGAAGAACTTCCTTTGGCATCCTCTTGGAGGTCAAATAATAGTAGGAAAAGTTCAGCAGACACTGAATTTCCTGATGAGTCTACTACTGCAGAAAGGTAAATTATGATTTTAGAAAGGTTCTATCTAAATGGAAGGTGATTTCTCCAAGAAGTTAATTATTTGTACTATTTAATAATTACTATGTTTTTTTTTTAAATTTTGGTTGGTCTTGAATTCAGGGCCTGGGCACTGTCCCTAACTGAACTCTTCAGCTCAAGGCAAGCGCTCTACCACTTGAGCCACAGCGCCACTTTCGGTTTTCTGGTGGTTTATTGGAGATAAGAGTCTCATGGACTTTCCTGCTTGGGCTGGCTTTGAATCGCAATCTTCAGATCTCAGCCTTCTGAGTAGCTGGGATTATAGGCGTGATCCACTGGCACCTGGCAATAGTTTTTTTTTTACAATTCAGGACAAAGAAGAAAGTTTATAATAAAATGAAAAGTTTTAGTTAGGTCTTACTAGTATTAGGGTTATGTAAGGGATTTTTTAAGTATTTATGAGACATTTAATATTAAAGATCATTCTATGAAAAGAAAACTCAAAAATGTTCCTTTCCAGAATTCACAAATTGAAGGTATCTTAGAAAGAAAGTAACACTTTATTTTATTTATTTTGTGCCAGTCCTGGAGCTTGAGCTCAGGGCCTCACACTCTGGCTTGGCTTTTTCACTCAAGGCTGATACTCTACCACTTGAGCCACACCTCCACTTCTGAAAGCATCATGTTGAAAATGTGTTTTGTTGATACATGTTAGGTATTGATACATGTTTCCTGGATGCCCTGCATTGAGAATTACTTACCACTGTTTAAAGTGAATTTCCCACCATCTTCCCCAGGTATTGGAGCTATTGTGTCATTAACTTGTGTATTACTCATCTCTGACCATTCTGCCTTGTTCTAGAGTACTGACGAAATCTCCATCTCCAGCCTTACACCCTCCTCAGAAGTACAAAGACAGAGGAATTTTACATCCAAAGCGGAGCACTGAGGACCGATCAGACCAGTGCTCTGTGAAGTCTGCGGACAGCAGCACCTACCCAAGTCCTTGTGCAAGTCCTTCCCCACCATCTTCAGGAAAGGTAAGTAGCAGAAGTAGGCACAGGAAGCATCAGGTTTGTAACGCCTCCAGTGTTACACATTTAAATAAGATAATAAAAGCTTCCCTTTTTGCTGGGGGTTTAGCCCAGCAGAAGGGCACCTGCCTGGCGCGCACAAGGCCCTAGGTTCATTCGGTCCTCAGCCCTGGGGAAAAAAAAAAGCTTGCCTTTTTCCAGTTAGGGGTGCCTTGCAGGTTTAAATTGAGTGACTCCTGGAAAACAAACTGCAGTGCTTGGAATACATTTTTTTTTAGTTTTCTTTCTGCTTATTATTCTATTCTGTACTTCTATTATTCTGTTCTACGACTTCTATGTTCTTACTAAATACTATTATTTTGGGATACTTTAAGAAATTATTAACTAGTTGTATATAGCTGGGCTGTTCATTTTTATTTCTTTAAAACCTTTTGGTTGAAAGAACAAAGCTAGGAAGTGGCACTGTAGCTCAAGCAGTAGGGCGCTCGCCTTGAGCTGAAGAGCGCAGGGACAGTGCCCAAGCCCAGAGTTCAAGCCCTGCAACCAACCAAAAAAAAAAAAAAAAGAACAAAGCTATTTAAATTTTGGTATATAATTTCAAAATCAGAAGCATGTGTTTCTTTTACTTGTTAATTAGTTTTTGGCAATTCAATAATTATGTTAAAATATACTAAGTAAATTGTTAAATACAGAAGGTAGGAAGGCAAAAGATAGTGATATGGAACTGGAAACTATCATTTTTAAAATGTGTAATAGGAATTTTTTCGTTTGTTCAGAAGCATTTACTTTTAGTTTCCACACCTGAATAGGTATTTGGATAGATATTCAGCAGACCTTTTTATCATATACTGTTTTACATAGTAAATATGTTTAACTTTACAAGAAACTCTTCAACTCTTTTCTAAAATGGCTGTGCTATTTTGCATTTTCTTTAACAAACCCTTAAGAGTTTCATTTGGTGTATATTTTTGGCACTTGGCATTATTTATCATTGTAATGTCTTTGTAATTCAAAATGCGAAATGATTTTGTAATTTCTAGTGAGTGGATTGGTGGTGGCTATTATGTGAATTTGCAGTTATTCTCCCTGCTCTGCATCTTTTCTGTGCTAATTTCACACTCCAGCCATAGTCTTTGCTGAATTAGCATTCTAATTTGTTGTTTGTTTGTTTGTTGCCAGTGTCAAGGCTTGAATTCTGAAGCCTGGCTTTCTCTTTTCTTGATTGGCTCACAACTGGCACTCAACTACTTGAGCTTTTGCAGTACTTACCATGCAGATTGGAATCCCTGCAGTCTCTAAACCCTTCTCTGTTTTGGAACTCCAAGACTGCTAGGCTTGTCACGAAGACTTCCTCCTCATAGTGCACATAGGAGTTTAAATTTGTTCTCTGAATTTCAAGGTTTTAAAAACATTTTGTGAAAATCCATTTGGGGGTCTTAAAGTCTGGATCCTTTTAACAAGGCTTTTTTTTTTTTTTTTTTTGGTTAGTCGTGGGTCTTGAACTCTGGGCTTCGGCACTGCCCCTCAGCTCTACAGCTCAAGACGAGTGCTCTACCACTGAGCAATAGTGCCATTTCCAGTTTTCTGGTGGTTTATTGGAGATAGGAGTCTCACGGTCTTTCCTGCTCGGGCTGGCTTTGAACCGTGTGAGCCACCGGCACCCGGCAACAAGGCGTTTTTTTATGCTTTGATTTAGTCTTTGTAAGCTCATTTTGATTGAGCATTGTTAAAAGTTTTCAAGCATCATGAGCTGTTTGCATTTGTTGACTATTTGGTAAAATATTTTTGGCTTATGTATTTATGGAAATGATGTTTGCTGATCTTGAAAGGTCACATTACCCTCGGAGAACTTACACATTGTTTTATAGGGCTCAAAATCTCCTTCACCAAGACCAAACATGCCTGTTCGGTACTTCATAATGAAGAGTAGCAATCTGAGAAACCTTGAAATTTCTCAACAGAAGGGCATCTGGTCTACAACCCCTAGTAATGAGCGGAAGCTAAATCGGGCCTTTTGGGAGAGCAGCATGGTTTACTTGGTATTTTCTGTTCAAGGATCTGGACATTTCCAGGTGAGCTGTCCTAAAACAGTAAAATGGACTTGTTCTGGTTGTGGGTCACACTGTACAGGTAAAAACAGCAAAACAAAACCAGCTTTGTACTGCATTGGAGTGGAATGGTGCCTCTTGCTTGACTTGGAATGAGGGGTATTTAACATCTCTTCTAGGGGTGATAGAACTGGGACCTCTTTAATTTTGCTTTGTCTTAACACCAGAGCCTTCGCACATAAATATTTTCCTCTGAACATAACCGTAGATTTACTGGTTCTCAGATGCACTTAACACTATGGAGAGATTGACTCAGTTGAATGTTTATTTAAGTAGGCCAAGAAAGTTAACATTGACAACATACGTTTTTTAACTTTGCTTGCCTTCATGCTTATCTGAATTTACAAAACATGGAATTTATTACAGAAATAAAACCTTAGCTCAGTTCTCTTCATTGTCATGAAATAAATGTAGACGTAGAATAGAAGACACATTATTTAGAAGCTGTTAACATTTATAGTGCTAGATTAAAATTGTGTTTTCTTCTAAAATTTGGTAATAAACCTAGTAAACTTTATATTTGATATTTTTTTTGTTAAGTATCTTTTATAGTTTTACCCAAAAGTATAAAAAAAAACCCCTCAGCTTTATCAGACAAAGTAAGTTCAGATGTTTTAACAACTTTCCCTCCATCTTTTCCCTTCTTTTACCTACAGGGGTTTTCCCGGATGTCTTCTGAGATAGGAAGGGAGAAGAGCCAAGACTGGGGCTCAGCGGGCCTGGGCGGGGTCTTTAAGGTGGAGTGGATACGAAAAGAGAGCCTTCCCTTCCAGTGTGCACACCACCTGCTCAACCCGTGGAATGACAACAAGAAGGTGCAGATAAGCCGGGATGGGCAGGTACTATGCTGGCGTTGACAGCACTTACTGCTGTTCAGCACGTCCAGGAGAAAGTCTGCAGTCTGCGTACTTATTTATTTAATGTCTTTGTGACTTAAACTAATTAGGTAAAGTAAATAACTATTTCATATTTTTAGTAAAATGAGTCATTACTCCATTTGATGTTAAGAGAATATAGACTGAGGCCAAATGACAGTGAGTCACATGTTTGAATCAGTGTGGCTCGCTTTACATCCTCATGGGAAGTGTTAAGTTATTTTTAAAGCCGGGCGCCCGTGGCTCACACCTGTAATCCTAGCTACTCAGGAGGTTGAGATCTGAGGATCATGGTTCAAAGCCAGCCCAGGCAAGGAAAGTCCATGAGACTCTGATCTCCAGTAAACCACTCAGAAAACCGGAAGTGGTGCTGTGGCTCAAGTGGCAGAGCGCTCACCTTGAGCTAAGAGTTGAGGTTCAGCACCCAGGCCCAGAGTTCAAGCCCCACGACTGACCCCCCCCCCAAAAAAAAGTTATTTTTAAATGCTCATGGTGATAACATACACATGGAGACTGTAAAACAGTGGCATTCTTTTTACCTGTATAATAATATTTTTATTTTATAATGCTGATTTTGAAATATACAATTCCTAAAAAAAGACTATCGATAAAGTTTGAGTGCTTTTGCTAAATCACCATTAAAAATGTATTATTTCTACATAGAATTCCAGGACTCATGGAAACCAGTTGGCATTTTGTCGTGAAAGTAGAGACATTTGCAAATTCACTCATCTTAAATCTGAAAGTCAACTTGTATACCTTAAAGCAGAGATTCGCACAATATAAAACATTTGGTTTGAGCATGGTCTGGTAAAAAAAAAAAAGAATGGAATTCTTTTTTTGCATTTTTATCAGTGTAGTTTTTGGTAATTTTTCAGTTTAGTTCTTTGTATGTTTATTTTGACTTTTGATTTATCCAGGAGCTAGAACCACAGGTTGGTGAACAGTTGCTCCAGTTATGGGAACGCCTTCCTTTGGGAGAAAAACCCACAACTGACTGACAATGCAGGTTATGCCTATTTGACTTTGGGTGCTAGCAGTATTTGTTGTCATTAGCATGACACTCAAGAGTATTTGTTTTTCCCTTTTATTGTTCTAGAATGCTTTGCTGTGGAAGAACATGCCCAGAGGAAACTCGAAATGTACCAAGTTTCCCAAACGGAGAGGGGTGTGCGGCACGTGTGATGAGTGTGGTCGCAGTGCCGCTTCCGATGCCGTCTTCACGTGTGAGAACGGTAGTGATCGTAGGGAGGGAGCACGGCAGTAATCGTTCCATGGCTTGACACAACAGCACTTACTGTAAACAAACGGCATTACAACGCACTGATCACTTTGTAACGCAGAAAAGGCAGTTCCTTATTCTCCACCAAGAAACAAATGCCAGCAGCCAACTAACTTTATAAATGGCCTTTATAAATAGTGTGTGTTAAGAACTGCTCATTCTGTCATTTAAGCCAGAGACATATTGGAAAAAAATAAAAAGAAGGAATGCTCTTTTTTGTGTGTGATTAGGTAATGCAGTAAAATCTAAAGCAGGGCAGGACTCCTTCCTGCCTTGATAAATGAGGTGGTGGGCTTAGCTGAGTCTAGAGCTGCCTCTTTTAAACTGAGAAGTCCCATGTTCCTCCCTCTTTTTTCTTCCTCCCTCCTTCCCTCTCTTCCTCTCTTCTCCCTTCCTCCTCCCTCTCTCTTTCTTCCCCATAACAGCTTTCACATGTCCCTTACATGAGCAACAGTAATTTTGACATCTTTGGCTATATAGCACCTTATTAAAGATTTAAAGACATTTCTACAAGTTTTAAAAGATACACAGCAGTTATTGGTAGCTTGGTTGCTTTATGTCTTTGAAGCCAAAACACACAAGGACCACAGTTCTAAATGTCTTCTTTAATGTTTAATTTCTTTTTCTCTGACTTATGTTTCAGACATGGCTTCCACCTTTTCTGCATTTACTACTTAATAAATGGGGATTTAAAAAATTTCCAACCCATGCTAATGCCAAGTCTCAGGTTTCTTTGTCCTCTCAGAGTTGCTTGGTTTGTACAGTTCCCTTAGAGGCTTGTTCAAGGGGAATAGAAGGATAGGGTATGTGGGGAAAAAAAATACCTGAATACACTAGACTGGATACTTCTTCTCATGGTATCTTTGAGTTGTTGTCATAAAGAAAAAAATGGATTTTCTTTAAAGATAAAATTCTAAGTACTCTGGTTCTGTATTTGAGAAGAAATGCAAAAATCATTGGTCAACAAAAAATCTTGAGACCATCAGTTCTCTCTGAGAAGCATTATTGGTGCATTAGAATGTCAGCCGTGATTTTTGTTTGTATTAGCTGTATTAGTAGCTCTTAGGTTTGTTCTTTTTATACTTTGAAGTACACGTGTAAGTTGAGCCTATATGAATTATGTTCCATTTTACATGTATTACATTTCTTTTCCTATTAGATCAGCTTATGTTTTCCTGATAATGTGTACTTTTTTTTTTTAAAGCTATATACTTAGTAATTTTCAGTGTTTTAGATTTGGAAGGACTTCAAAAAATACAGCTTGTTTAAATTTTCACATTTTCTAATATCTAGCCTTCTATGTAAATGATGAGTTTGTTGGTATTTAAAATGAGTACAGTTTGAATGTAATTAAAATGTTGTTTTTGGAAGAAATGAACTTTAAATGTTAATATGCTTATTAAATCTATTAAATTATTTAGATTCCATGTACTACATCTCTTTTTTCCCCCCATGCAACAGCCGTCCCATGTCTTTGTGTCATGCAGCACAGTTAACACTGACAGCAACCAAGGCCTTCAAGGCAGAGCCATTGAGGGTTTCATCCTGAGATGCCTTTGAACTGTCTCTGAGAATAGATAAAACTGGGTGCAGTGGCTCCCACTTGTAATCTTAGCTACTCAGGGGGCTGAGATCAGGAAAGTAGACAGAGGATTGAGGTTTGAGGTCTACCTGGGCAAAGGCTTAACAAGAACCCATCTTCACAATAAGCTGGGCCAGCGTGGGATGTGCCTGTCATCTGAGCTGTGAAGGGGTTGAAGTAAAAGGATCATGGTCCAGGCCGGCCCCAAGCAAAAATATGAGACCCTGTCAGAAAAATTAACTAGATGCAAAAAGGGTGGAGGGTGTTGTTTAATTGATAGAGCACCTGCCTAATAAGCACAGGGTCTTGAGTTCAAATCCCTATATATATATATACGTATATATATATATATATGTATCTCACACACAAACACAGGACAATTTGTAAAAGGATCGGGACAGGAAGTTAAAAACTATAGTGAAAAGTAACCTGTAATTCAGTCCTAGCTACTTGGGAGGCAGAGGTCAGGGCACCAGAGTTTGAGGGCTGCTGGGGAAAGTTGAAGAGACTCCATCTCAGTCAATGGCTGAGTGTGGTGGCATATGCCTTTTACCCAAGTTGTAGGGGACATAAAAATCGGGGGATCACTGTCGAGGCCAGCTTGGGCATAAAGCAAGACCTTACCTTGAAAATAACAGAAGGTCTGAAGGTGTGGCTGAAGTGGTAGATGGTAGATAGATACAAGTGAATAGCTGAAAGAAACAGCAAAAATGTTCTGAGGAATATGTAGCTTATAAAACTGACAAAAGTTTTTTTTAAAAAAACAAGTTTGTCCTGTGAAATGTAATGATAGGAAAAGATAACTAAATCTAGAGGATCTTGAGCTTAGTCTACAGTTTTAAGATGCCTATTAAAAAGGCTGTGTGGGCCTGGGAAGGTGGCTCAATAGTAGAGTGCTTGCCTTGCATGCCTGAGGCCCTGGGTTCGATTCCCCAGCACCACATAAGCAAAAAGAAAAAAGCTGGAAGTGGCGCTGTGGCTCAAGTGGTAGAGCGCCAGCCTTGAGCTGAAGAGCTGAGGGACAGCGCCCAGGCCCAGAGTTCAGGCCCCACAACTGGACCCCCCCCCAAAAAAAAGGCTGTGGGAGCCAGGTGCCGGTGGTTCACACCTGTAATCCTAACTACTCAGGAAGCCGAGATCTGAGGATCATGGTTCAAAGCCAGCCCAGATAGGAAAGTCCAGGAGACTATGATCTCCAATAAACCACTAAAAAACTAGAAGTGGTGCTATGGCTCAAGCAATAGAGCCCTGGCCTTGAGCTGAAGAGCTGAGGAACAGCTCCCAGGCCCAGAGTTTAAGCCCCATGACAGACAGAAAAAAAAAGGCTGTGGTTCTAAACGTGGTGCCTGGTTGATGAGTAGAGTTTTTTTCTTTAAAAAAAAATCCTTTCCTGATAGTTCTAGCACTCGAACTTGGGGCTTACACTCTACCACTTCAGCTACAACTTGTTTCAGCTTTTTGTTTTTTAGAAAGTGAAGATCAGAGTTTAACAGATTTTTCTTACCCCATCTGGCTTCAAATTATGATAGATTTCAGCCTCCTGAGTAGCTCGCATTACAGGCATGAGCTACCAGTGTCTGATCTGGTGAATAATTTTGTAATTGGGTTCAACAATCTGTATATTGACCTGATACCTATATGGCCCGTGGATTATCCTGAAACGGATGAGTCAAAGGTATTTTTGGATATATGTTTTAAAGTTCATAAGGCATCCATCTAAAATGCTCACATTATTCATCTTGTTCACCAGCGGAAATTATAATAGTAAAAATAGAGGTAATTGATAAAACATTCACCTCTTTGCAAGAGGTGCCACATTACACTGAAGCTCCAACACTAAACATGAGAACAGCAAGCTGCTCAACCATTCTGATACTAATTTCCCTATGTGAAAAAGAGAAAATACCACCTTTCCTGTCTGTTTCACAGGATCACTGGAAGTGAGTGTTGGAAAAACCAGACGTCACACAGATATAAGTACTTGGTGTTATTTGCCCATAATTGCCTGATAATCGGTTGTGGACATTCAGTATCACAGATCTTTAATGTCTATTTATTCAGTAATTAAGTATAACGTGCCCACAATGTGCGAACTCTTGCAGTTTAGAGCACCAAATTCAACAACAACAACAAAAAAAACCAATTCTCTCCTCTTGGCACACTTCGGTTATAGTGGAATATCTCCTATCTTGAATCATCTTGAAATAAACAGAAAACTACACCATCTATCTAATAATGAGAAGGCTACAGGTCCCATTGTAATGTAGATGTGAAGGAAAAGAGGCCCAGATTAGTTTATTTAGCAGTCATTTAAGAACGTAATTTCAGGGTTAATTTGGGGGACTCAAGGCAAAAGTCGTTACCTCCTTTTGTAGAAAAGAATTTATCCCAGTGAAGCTGACGAGGGAGGAATCTGTTGCAGTTCTGAAGCAGTGGACTGTCTGTAGACTCGGTTATGTTTTGGATATGAAGGTACAATGTCTTCTAGTGATCTAACTGTGCTATTGAGGCTGGGTTAATCTGGGTTACCTGTGTACTTTAGTGCTCAGAGATCACGATGCCTATTCCTTCTGGCTCCCAGGAAAGGCAGGAAGAATGACTTGCTGGATTGTTTATTTTCGGAGGAAGGCTGGTGCGTGCGCAGCTTCTCTTCCTGGCATGTCCATCTGTCTACCTTTTTCTTTAGGAACTGATGGTTTCCTTGGACATATTGTAAATTGCATATTGTCAATGGAAAATTAGTCGGAAATCATTTTTGTGCTAATGTCCTCAGTTTGTTTCCCAGAGTCTGACTCCTCCTGTCCTCAGACCAGGCTAGAAGCTTGATGATATTCTTTATTTTTCTGTATTGTGATTAGCATGGAAAACTTTTGTTGTTGTTGTTGGTTATGAACATTGAACTCTGGGCCTGGGCGCTGTCCCTCAGTTCTTCAGCTCAAGGCAAGCGCTCTACCACTTGAGCCACAGCGCCACTTCCAGTTCTCTGGTGGTTTGTTGGAGATAAGAGTCTCACTGACTTTCCTGCCTGGGCTGGCTTTGAACCGTGATCCTCATCTGAGTAGCTAGCCACTGGCGCCCGACTGGAAAACATTCTTTTATCATAGTGACTTTTCTTAGGACAACTATCTAAGGATAGTACATAACTGGATGAACAGGTAAGCACAACTAATCACGTTATTTTAAAAATATCCTATAGTTACTGAGACAAGGAAGTCTTGTTTATTAATAATAATTTCAATTGATTTTTAATTGTGCGTGCTGATGGGTACATTATGTGCTGGGTAATGACTGAATCACGGTTAATTAGCATTTCCATCTTCTAAACA